CAGGTTCAGCACCACGAGGAAACCACTTGGTAGCATTTTGTAATGGTGGGGGAGGAAGAGAGTGTGTTTCCGATGCCTGAGGCATCATTTTCCACACGAAGACCTTTCCCAGTGTACTGCCTCAAGTACATCCCGCACTCCACCAAAGCTCTCCACATTGCCAGGCATTGGGTCATCATATGCCTTATAACTTGCAATAATTAATTTCCTTTTCCATGGAAAGACTATGTTACATCAGTGAATATCATAGACACGGTGAGGTGGCGGCAGATATCCTGGTTCTGCTGTTAATAATGCAATACAGGACTCAGAAAATAAAGTGCCATGTAGTTTAAAGGTCTGGGAACATGATGTGGATGTAAAAAATTGGTAGTACAAACTCATTTGTTCTTTTGCAGTTTGGGCCATATTTTTTCTGTGGCTTTCAGCAAATCCCTCAGGTTTTCTGAGCCCAGTCTGTAAAATCTGGCTTGCAGTCTTTTGTCACGTCCCACATAAGGGACCATTAAAGATTGATTCATTTGTGTTTGAAAATTGCTGTGGAGATGAAAACTGCAGTATAAATTCTGCCTATTGTTCCAGTGGCCTCCTGATTTCAAAGGCTGCCAGGGTTAAAGTGGTACTAGAGTGATTTAAGTGGAAATCAAGTCACAGTGTGGCTGATGCCGCAGTCAGACAGAACATGTTCAACCAGCAGCAGCCTGAGAGGAAGCGATACAGAGAGATGATACATAAAGCTCTTCAATACCACAAAGTTGCACATAAAATAAATCTCATTACTGCTTTTCGCACTCTCTGGCCACTGTTCCTACAACTCTATTGGGCTCTGGCAGTAGTGAGAAACATATTAATGAAACAGAACAGTATCTGGGAAGGATAAAGTGCCAGGTTGTATGATGTGAGACACAGACATCCTTTGGAGTTTACCAAGAGTGAGACAGTAATATGCACGCTCAGAATAAAACCCTTGCCTTTGCAAGCAGATAGTGAAACATCAGAGGGGCAAAGAGGTGGGAAGACAAGCTCACACTGTGACACACAGTGACTCTGTCAGAGTGCATGAAAGGAGCTGGCAAACGCTTCATCAGTGCCTTTCATAAAACCTGTCAAGGTAAGAAAAGAGGTGAATACCAAAGCAATGGATACCAGTGTGCTTGCCTTGATAAGAGCCAGAGCACAAACCCATGACTCCACCCCACAAGGACACAGCTGCTTGTTGCTGCAGACAGGAAAAGGTCCAGAGACTTTCATTCAGATTTTCTGTCTAAGAAACGAAACAGCAAAATTAACAGGGTTAATTAATAACCTTAGAAATCCATCATTAATTAAAAACCAGTACTGGCTCATTGAAGTCCAAGGATATTGGCACTCACAGTGTGGATGATGATGCTTGAGACAGCCCTAATCACCTAATTGAACACGCTGTTGATGTGTGCAGCCTCGTGGCACAGGAGTGGGAATGCCTCCTGCCAGTGTGTGTGCCCTGCTGCCTGTGGGAGGCCTGAAAGCCATCGGGAAACCCGGGGCAGCCTGGAAGCAGGAGCTGCGCTTGGGAGCTGACCAAAGCCCAGAGATATCTGTAGTAAGCCATATGTCAAACAGAAGATGTCTGACTTGTGCTGCAGTGTTGTTGCCATCACTCCTCTCCTTTCTGGCTGTGTCTGTGGAGGTGACCGTGGTGGCAGGACCACAGAGCCACACACACCTGCGGTGACAGCCTGGCCCCGCCGCTCGGGGCAGGACAGCCCGCTCCAGCAGCCTGGGTCTCTGTCAACCCAGAGACCTGGAAAAAGATGCAAACAACACACAAACACGGGGAAAATGCCATCCAAATGGTGAGAAACTGCAGATGATTCAGCAGGTTATCTGACTCAGCGCTTTCCTGCTGAGCGCAGGCTGCCGTGCGGTGGCACAAGGTGTGGGAACAGCTTTCCCAGCATGCAGGGGAAACAAAGGCTTTTTGGTGGGCATGGGAGCAAAGCAGCCCAGGATAGCCCTGGAAGCTGCCAAGATACCACTATGTTTCCTGCAGTAGCCCTTTTCCTCTATACATTTCAAGGACTAACAATAATTTATTAAAACATTGCCTTTCTACCCTGCCTTTCAGTCACAGCATTTTATAAGCATTGCCAAACAAAGCTTCCCAATCCTTCTGGAAGGTGATTGCTATCCATGTTTTGTGGCTGGACAAGCAAAGTCCTGGGGAGAAGAAAGGCTGGCTGCTCCCAGCCTTGTCCAAATGGGCAAGGAAACAAACACCCAGGGGCCATAAAACTTCCCCTTTCTTCTTTCATGGCCTTTCCTACCCCAGATATCCCACCAGGAAAGAGAGACTGGGAATTCTGGTGTTTCTGTCTGTCACTGTGACACACGGGAGCTTTCCCAGAGGGATGGGATTGTGTGTTTCACCACAGCCATGCCAGGAGCAAAGGGAGCCATCTCTAGGACAGAGAAAAAGGCACGTGCCACCTGACAGATCATTTGCGTGCACCAGCAGGGAATTTTTTGCGCCCAGGACTTTCAGGACTGACTTTTCCCCTGCCAGCAAGATGGCATGACTTAGGGTTGGCTGAAATATGCAGTCTGTAAGTGAGCAGGCCAAGTTTTCGTCATCTAAAAAAGGGAGATGATCAGGGTCAAGACATTGGAGTGACTGCTCATAACCAAGCTGTCTTATTAGATTGCTAGCTCCAATTTTGGACCCAGATGTTGTAGCATATAAAAACTGACATAAATTTATGGTAGAAAAGTTGCCTTTGGGCTCTCTAGTGTCCATCATGAGCAATGCACACAGTTACTTAATGTTTCCTCTGGGCATCCAGCATAAACACTGCTTTTACGTAACATACCTACACACATGCACATATGTGCAGGAGGATTTGGGAATAGCTTCCCTGAATTCTGAGTGGAAAAATTAGTCTACCTGAATGCCATGTTGAATTTCATTGTGCTCATATCAATACACATCTGGCACAGCTGTGGCTTTCTCTGGCAGACTGACAGAATGTGCCTACCACAACAGCTACATGGCAAAGGCCTTCTGTTTGTAATGCTGCCTTCTGCAGCCCTCTCCCACCCCTAAGAGTCTTTAGATCATATAATCTATACCATTGTTTCAGTTGCTCCTTTTTCATCCAGCAGATAAATTATTATGAAGGCAAACTTTGCCTTCCCCTGACCACAGCTTCCTCCATATAGCGAAGATAGATTTAGACAAGCCACTCATCTCAAAAAATATCTAGGAAAGCATTCATCCTATTTTAAAAACTCCCTGCTCAACACCATAGCAGCAATTGCCTCAAAAAATCCCAAACTATAAAGAAAGTAAACAAATACAACATCACTGAGAATGAGAAGAAAGCAATAGTAATGCTTGCTATTCTGCAACCACTCCAAAATTCAAAACAAAGCAACTAAAATTGCTTTCCTAATTCTCTTTTTATCCTTTTCCCTAGGCCTTTTCCATAAGGTACCTAGTGGAAATTAAAGCAATAGTTTTATATAGATAAATCCATAGCATTGAAAAGAGTCTGATCTCTTTTCCCTAGCTGCTCAAAGACTGCACCAGTCTATGTGGTGTTTGAAAATCATGTGGGAAGGAGATCATTCTCTCCTAAATTCAATAAACTTTTAGAATCACATTTATTCACTTCTATAGAGTTTTCCATACGGGATTTCAGAGCCTTTTATACAAGAAGGTGCCCCCTTTTCTCCTCTTCTCTCCTTCCTTTGTGCTTGTTCTTTCATCAGCACAAAGCTGAAGTGAACAATAGTACACACTCAGCTTTACATCCCGCAACATCCAGGACTCTGAAGAACAAAGAAACAAATACCCAACCAAGGGACTAAAGATAGCAAATTCAGTGTGATGGGTACCTTTAGCTACAGTGGAAAGTTCTGGTGCTGGTGGAAGAAGGTTCCTTTTAGGAGCCAGAGAAGATGAGTACTGAAAGCTGGTTCTGATGTGGGCTGGCTATAAAATCCTAACTGAGTCACTCTGCCTCTCTAAGCTGCATTTTCTACAGCTGCAAAATGGGGGTTTAGCCCAGAAACCTGGGTAGTGGTTTTATAAGGCATTATAAAGGACTGCAAGGATATAAACAAATAACTATTTTTTCATGTGGGAGTGCAGGAGCAAAGACAGAAGGGAGAAGAGCAAATACATTGAGTGGGAGTGTGGGGATAGCAGTTGGGACAATTTATTAATTTGGTTTCCATGTCATTCTCATAAACAGCCTACAGATGAGTGAATCTGCTTGTTGATCACTCTCTGCCTGCTGGGTGTTTCCCTGCACTAGGTCCTGGGTCCTGCTCCATGCTGCCCTGCATCTCCACCCTGTCAGAGCTTGCTCCCACCTCAAGGTGCTGAGCCCAAGCAGCTCCCTGCTTTGGTCCATGGGGACAGATGGGGTGACTGTGACTCTGCACCCTTTGGTCACTGCATCATCCTGTTTGCCCTTGGTCTGGAAACTGGGCTGGGGAATCACATATCCTTCCCCAGCTGACTTGTTACAGAAGGAGAAAGAAAACTGTTTTTCTCTCCCTAGCTCAGATGTCCCTCAGAGACCTCAGTGCAAGGCTGATGACGCCTGTGGAACCTGGGAAGCAGGGAGGGGGAGTGGGGCAGGTCAAATCCCTGTGTGATGCTGTGTAAGGAAAGATGAGATCTTGCATTTGTCCTCTTCTCACTGAATCTCTGGTAAATCATGTCCTTGCCTGCTGCTATAATCACTGATTGCATGTTGTTTGCCTGTTGCATTAAAGCTGCTTTCTTAATTAATATCATTTTAAAGGGCGGGCTTGGCACAAAGGAGACAAGCTGTTTTGAACTCCAGTAAACACATTTTGTATGTGACCATCCTAAGCAACTCCTGCAGGGTTTCTAGGGTGAGCAGGCAGAAAGCACCACGAGTTAATGACCTGTGTTTTAACCACCTGATGCTGGTCAAAGCTTTGATCTATCAGGTTTAAGGCTGGGTGGAGGAGGGGAGGCAGAGTGCTCTGCCACGCTCCCCAGTACCACCAGAACTGTTAATCAGCCTGCTCTGCAGTCTGCTGCAGAGTTTGCTTTATTAAAGCTCCCTGCTGCCTGCACACGTTCACTGGCACAGACACCGAGAGACAAGCAAACCCTTACCCGAGAGCTGAGCGCTCGCTGCTGCATTGCAGAGTTTGCTGCCACAAAGTGATGGGGGTAGGTAATCGCAGGTGGAGACTGGGTCCTCCCTCAGCTCGCCTGCATCTGCAATCTCCTGGATTTCTCTAACCGGATACAAGGAGAGCTGGCAGCAGAACATGCTTTTTAGGGTTTTCTATCCAATTCCTGAATATCTGGATGGCATTGCTTATATTAGTCTCAAGTGTAGTCTGTACTGCTTAATGTGGGTTTTGTTCACAGTTACTCTAAAAACCTAAAAATTAATGTCCTTTGTGGTACTTGAAGGGGTAAGCATAATTGTATTTATTATTGTTATAAACTAACCTTGCCTCTGCCTAGAGGCCCTCTCTAAGGCTGAGGATGCCATTGTGCTGTTGAAATATTCAAATTAAATTCTGCTGCCTTTCAAGGACCTGGCAGCCTGAGCATTACAGGCTTTTTGGTTTTCCTATAGGTTGTCTCATAAAGAAGATTGAGCAGGATTAAGTAACTTTTGGAGGAAACTGTAGGTGATTCAGTTAATTTCCTTTGTCCCCTCCTACCCCCCCTTCCCCTGCCCCCCTCACCCTGGTTAGGCTTTTTTCCTTTTCTTTATTTCTTCTGTGACAGCACAGAAACATTTTATTATTTCTTAAGGTTTAATACCAAATAGCTGCTCTGTTTGGTAATATCTGTAACCACATTGGATTTGTTGTTTTTAACAGACAATTTTTTCTGGAAGAAAGCTGGTATTTGTTTAAGAATTGTTAGGCATGTCATTTCTAATCTGTAAATATGCATGTGGAAATTTGATTGTAATAATTTTGTTCTTTGTGAACAGCTGATCTAGGATTTCTTAGTTCCCCTTGTATTTTTCAGGTATGTATCTCTTTTTTTTTTTTTCTTTTGTGAAACAAGGATGGCTCAGATTTCTCCTCCTTACGTGTTTCCTGGTGATACAGTACTGCAGTCTCTGCCTTACTCAGCTTATGTCTAATTGCAGAGCGTTTAGCAAAAGAATTCAAATGTAAGTTTTAGATTTGGAGTTAACCATCTATTACACTCAGCTTTGTTAGAAGATGTCATCTGAACATCAAAGATAGGCCTGGGGTTTAATTTCTCCTTATTAGATTGTGTGAAGGTGGGCTTGCATCAGTCTGAATCAAGAACTTGTGGCTTGGTAGAGTTTAGGGAAAAGGAAATTTTCTTTCCACTGAAAAGCCAGGATATATCTGTGTATGTGTGACATCTGTTGCAGCACTGCTTGTTGACAGTCTTCTGGGACAAGCTGGCCAGAAGGACTGGATATTGTGGGAATTAAAGCTTGGTGTTCGTATGGCAGCTTAACTGCTGAGTGCCCATGTTCTGAAGGAAAAATGTGATTTACCTAAAAGATCTTCTGGGGCTGGATTTCTGGAGCTGTTGAAAAAAATTCTTGACTGGTGGGAGTCCTGGTTTCCAGATGCTTCCAAACACAAAGTCTCATTGTCAAGATGAAGGCTCTGACAAAAGAAGCCAGATACTATTTCATTATTATTTTAACCTTCCACATCAGAATTTTCATACAACTAAAGCAAGGATGACACTTGACTACCTTCCAGGAATGGTAAGGGTTAACATAATGTAATATTCCTGCAAGGAACACATTGGTAAGTGACATAGTTGTTATGCTGTTAGTGGCCATTTTGGAGCAATTTTTCCTCATTGTTCAGATCCTTCTGTAATTCACTTCTTCCAGTGACCCTTTCAGTGTTAATCCACCACACAGAAGCGTTGCAGTTTTAATTAAAAAGGAAATCTCTATCTCACTAAGCTTAGTCTGCCATCTGATCATGCAGTATGGTTTACAGACAGTATTATCTGTCTAATTTGCATCATAAAACCATGACTTAAGCAAGGCAGAAGACATTGGCAACCCCCAGGAAGTAATGCAGCTCTAACCAAAACCAGCCATGTTTTAAGCAAAAGTTCACTGTAAGAATGGAGATGTGTATCTCACATGGTGCTGCACACAAGGAGGGTTACAGGGACCCAGAGAGCTCAGTGGGATACCTCTTTAAAATAAAACCTGTAGACTGAGTTTGGAGCAGCTCCTGAAAATATATGCTCCAGCTTGACAACAAGATGGGAATTTGAGGTGAGATTTACTGGATTCAATTTTTTGGCTTTTGGTAATGAAGGCTAGTAGTGCCTACTGACCTTTAAAACCTGTGATCTTATATACTGGCAGTTGTTATGTTCCTGTCTCTTGGAACTTCATTAACTAAATTGAGTGGTAAGCTGCAAGGCTATGAACTGTCCTGAGGGCCTACACATGACAAAAATTCACACTGGGCTGGGTGGTATCCCCAAATCCCATTCCAGCAGGTGATCAGCAGAAGTCCACGACTGGGCAAAAATCTCCTCATAGTTGTTCTCACATTTGCAGTTCTCAAGCAGCTGTCCCAGGGCAGAAATGGCTCAAAGGAGAGCAGTAACACCAGCCTTGCTGCTCAGCTCCCAACTGCACCCGCACATCAAGGGAGCAAACATAATCTGGGAGTCCCTGAGTGACAACAGAGCCATACAGAACTATTTTTTGCATTATTGTCAGATTTTTGAAACATTGTGGGAGGAAAGCAGTGGGGGAAGGGAGAGAGAAGTTGGATCTTGTATTTCTTATTAGCAGAGGAAGGAGGGAGGTATGAGATCGGTGTTACTCTGTGAGCTCTTTACCTCAGAGGAAGGTGAACCCCACCTGGCAGAAATTAAATGTTAATGTATCAAATTATGTCCAAAAGCACATAAAGCTCAAGGGACACCTTATGATACCCCTTGAAAACAAGATCTAATTTAATTCATTTGCATATCCTGATACCCAATACTGCAAATTGGCATTGGTGTGTTAATGCACTGCTACCATTAGGCTCTCTTGAGCTTATTGGAAAACCATAGTCAACAAACTGCAGGCACTGAATTGAAGTGTCTGGTCAGGGAAAACCAGATCAAACTACATCGTCTTAATTGTGACCTGTTTTGGGATGCAGAAGGGTGGCAGCAGCCCTTGGTGGAAAGAAACAATAAATTGATTTTGCTGAGAACCTCATCAATCACTGGTCACAGTGACCCATGGATCATTAATCTCATTAAAAACTTCAGCCTCGTGGCAAAAGTAATAGCAGACACACTAAAAGTGTGCAAATTAGATATGCTTTCACAAATGTGAATGGGTCTGCTGTCCCTGAGGAGAACTCCATTCCTAAATTGGGCAAACTTTTCACTGACTCCAGCTGAACTTCAGCCATTTGCTCTGTGTCAGATGGCATCTTCAGGAGCTGTGAAAGCTGTATGGAAGGTGTGTGGCCTGTTAGTGAGTCATGTTTATGTACTCAGTTCAGAGAAGGGAGAGCTGAACAGGGGGCACAGGATGCTTAATGCTGTGACCTTCTTGCCAGCCTCTCTCTGCTGCCTGCACTCTTCAGGTGAGGTGATTCCAAAAGAGTCTGGGAAACTGCTCTGGTTCTGGCCCACATCAGTGGGAGGATATGGCCAAGGCACTGTGTAATTTGGTACAATCTTATGTCATGGGCTGGGCAAAAGGACTCCCTGAGAAGGGACTTGTGAGAAGAAGGGGTGTGGTTTCCAGCTGGGAACAGGTGTGGCAGATGGAGAAGTTGGGGTGGGGTGCCACTGGCTGTGGTTGTGTCAGCTTGGGCTCAGTGAGCATCTTCCATGTAAATCACACTCTTTTTTTAGCACACTTTTGTTATTAATATTGTTGCTGTTACTGTTCTTTTTCTTATCCCATTGCTGTTCCCAGTAAATTGTTCTTATTTCAACTCATGATTTTTCACATAATTCTCAACTTCATCCCTGGAGCAGGGAGTGGGAGGGAAAATGAGGGAGCAAGTGCTTGACATCTTGTTTGGGTGTCTCGAGAGAGGCTGTGACAGGAACATATCAACAGTACACAGGTAACACTGATTTTCTGTGTGTCTGTGAGTCCAAAGAGTTTGCATTTTCTTGGAGAATGATATGTGTCAAAGAGTATAGTCAGTTGGTCATGTGGGTCCTTTCAAATAGGGCACAGCCTGTTGTACCACTGAGATGCAGGCTTTGCTGTTATCTGTAGAACAGTATGCATGCAGCTGCCAAAACTGCTAACGTGCACAGTACAGCTGCAAAATTTGTACTTGCTCCTCTCAGACCTTGTGAACACAATCCATGACTCTGAGTGCATCCGTGCAGGTCAGATGGCACTTGGCCCTGGTCTCCCAGTCATCCGTGTGCAACCATATTGGCCCTGCTGAAGCAAGCTAAATAGCTACCTCTGCTTAGAAAGTTAAGTGCATTTGAGAGGGTTGTTCTCAGGGATTTGCACACCCCAGACACCATCTACACACCAGGACACATTCACTTCCTCCTCCCAAGAATGTTCTCCAGTGCCCCTAGACTTATGTACACAAATCTCACCCAGCTGTGCTCACCAGCCTCCCAGCTGGCCCCAAGACCTGGGGAGCTCTATATCAACCCTCTTATTATTTGACTGCTTGGGATTTTTACTGAACCCTGTGAATAAAAAATCTAAAAGCTTTTTGGGTGCAAAAAGTGTTTCAGAGCTTCCATAGTCAGCACTTCCAGGTTATTTGCACATCACATAACTGAGGCTATTTCATGCTGTGGGTTTGGCCTGCAGCAGTAAGTACTTTGACTTCAAATTCATCCAAACAAAGGCTTTGCATGTAGAGAGCTGTGATGCCAGTGATTATGCTGGAGCAGCTTGGCTGACATGCCTCCTTCTGTGATGAAATACACCAGCTCGGGACCCATGTACCATAACAGTAAGCTCTGTGTTGCACTGTCACCAAGGACTTGAGCATCTTGATGGGTCTGAGAGGTCTGGGACCTTAACAAGCCTTGCAACAGATCAGATTCTCTGAGGCCATTCATTCATCCTTTCCATCTCCACTGCCATGCTCAGGACAAGTGGAGGGGCCCCAGGCATGAAGCCATGTTTCAGGCATTGCCTGTGGCTCTGGTAGGTGTCTTGTCTGAGTTATACTTACTGAAGAAATGAGAGCAATAGGATGTGTTTAGGTACAGCTGTGCTTAGGAAAGATACACTGTGTGATTCAGCCATTCTCCAGCAGAGCTGGGCAGCTCAGGGGTCAGGACAGAGATTCACCTCACCCTGTGCTTTGGGTACTGCTAACGTGTGCACACACACAGACAGCCTTTTCCAACAGCAGCCTCCTGCCCTCGTTTGCCAACAATGACATCCAGACCCTGCAAGCACTTCCATATAACAACCTGCTATGTCACAGCTTGGCTGACAGTTAAGAGTCAGGAATATAATTGGGGCAACAAACACCATCTGGCCAAGCCTGGCTCTAACAGGCATCTGTGTGTAGCCATCCATAGCCCTAGTCTGAGCTGGCTCTGTCAGCACCCCAGTGCATGAGGTTTTCTGAGGTGGGACTGACATGGTACTGGAGAAGCAATGGCAGCAGACATGGTCAGAGCAGAAGCAAGCAGTGTGCTTTTGTAGCAGCCTCTGAGCTCCTTTATTTGGCTTGGTCACCTCACAAGGAGGGTGCTGATGTGGTTATCTGCCATGCCTGGGGCAAGTGCATTCTGACACCGGTGTTGGGAGAGTGAGGAGATGCTTGCCTGCAGGTGCAGACTGCAGTGGAGGCTGATAAGATGCCAGGTTTGTTCCCAGAGCACTGCAGCGTGGTCATGGTTTGTGTGTTCCTGAGGGACACAGGCCATGCTGTACAGGCTGCCAGGGAGCCAGGGCTTGCTCCAGGAGTGAGCTGCAAAGACAGTGTAAATAGGGCTTTTTGTCCCCTTCACAGCAGGGTCACAGGACGTACTGGTGTGTTTGAACACAGCACACAAACCCAAGGCTCAGCCATGGGTGCAGGGGAGCATACCAGATCATTGCTTCTTAGAGTGTTGAGTTAAATGTGCAATGCCTAATGTTAATATTAACCTATATACTGAATGGCTTGGAAAGTACCTGTTTGTACTGAGCTCTCCCAACTGAAACATTTCAACTGCAGTGTTCTCAGCAGAGAATTCATTATTCTGAGACTTGCTCTCCCAGTTAGCTGGAAAGAGCCTAATTGTTTTCACCCTTTCAATGATATTTTAGCTCCTGTAATAGCTTTACCTGAGGTAGATTGATGAGCACAAATTTCTTTTAAAATGCTATGATTATGGACAGATTTCACATTCTCTGTGAATGAAACTTCTCATGTAATTGGTGTGAATTGAGGGAGAGCCTTTTTAAACTTCATTAGTAATGCAGCTAGTTCTCTCTTCTGACTGGTACAATGTACATCTGTCATACAAGAGTATAACACTGAGCTGTGTACTTAATTAAATGTGAACATGCAAACATGAACTTAGACCAAACTCAACGTCCCGAGTTCTACTCACACCTCAGCATGAACCCAGGGTCTCTGTCATGTAATTTTGACTCTTCCAGATGCCTGTCTCAATGCCTTCCTGATTAAAGAGATATTGCCAAACTATTGCCAGAAACCTGGACAGAAACTGCATAGCTCAGAGGTGCAGCATGACTGAGCCTGTGGTCAGTCTGCTGCTTTCATTTCAATATGTTTGTTTCATTTATGGCTTGCAGAATATCTGCCCTGCTTTCACAGATAATGCACCATGGAGTTAAAGAGCTTAGGGAAAATATACTTTGTGAGAATAGATGGAGAACAATTAGGTTGTTTTGTTCAGACAAAAGTTGACTGAGGAAGAAAGGAGAACCTGTGTTCAAACATATAAAAGGCACTGCAGAGAGGAGGGGACAACCTGTTTGTTACACATGCTGTGAGCAAGACAAGAAGCAAGGCTCTTGAATTGCAGTAAGATAGAAAAAGGCAAAAACTTCTTGACAGTAAAGAAGTAAGGGGTGGAAACCACTTCTGAGGAGGGCATGGAGCTCCCACCATTTCCCCAAATGCCTGTTGGGCGTGCCATCGGCAAAGGCAGGCATAGACCAGCACAAGCAGGCTGAGACAGGCAGGGTCAGAAAGGGGAAGACACTCAGCTTCCCTGAGCAGATCTAGGGGCACCACGGGCAACAGCAGAGAGGCTCACTCCTTCTAGCTCCTCCATTAATGGGGTTGCATAAATATCTGCCACAGGTACAATTCCTTCAAATTTATTTTCAAATCACAATCATTAAATTGCAGAGCTGAGAGCAGAGGGTAGGTAATCTAGTTCTTAGTTATCTGTGCTGCCCACCACACCACAAATACCCCTATTCTGACACATGAAATTAAGCTAGGCTGAAAATGACTTTTCACCTCAGTATGGTCTAACACAGTGGCCCCAAGTCCCAGGGGACCAGAGGAGACCTTAATTAGGAGGTGTGGCTTTTTCTGGAGAAAAGGGATTTGGCAGGTTAGAAAAGTATTCAGTGTCTTCCCGTGGATGCCATCATGAGCAATAAGTGATCCTTGTGCCCCAGGTTTGTAAGAGGGTCATATTTTTACGATGTCAAGCATGCTGCTGTCTTTTCTGCAATAAAGCTCACCTAATCAAAACAAGTCAGAGCTTATCTAATCCCCTAGCCAGAGATATTTCTGTGGTGGCTACAGAGCCAGGTTTCCTAGCAACCTAAAAGGCATTAGACAGGGCTTTGTCGACATTTATCTGTTACACACAAAACCCCCTGTTCGAATAATATCATGGGTGTAACATCAACTGACAAAAGCCAGGAAATTCAGAGCTGGGGCTGATTTTCTATCCTTGCCTCTCATCAGGCTGAAAAACAAAAGGCACAGTCATGTGAGTGATGAGCAGAGCAAACCAACCTTTATATTTCCTGGCTTTCTCCCAAAGTAGATGCCATTCAAATGAGGTGCTTGGTATTAATTTCCTCTGTTTAAGACAGGTTTAATGCTCACATTAGGTAGCATGTTGGCAGTGCTGCCAGTTTCTGCATGGGCTACCATTTTTCCTTGGAGGGGCCAGCTGGAGTGAGGAAAGAGATATCCCAGCCCCTCTGAAACCTTTGGTTTGCCCATGGTGAAACCAGTTTTCAGATCTGTGGGTTCACAGGTGAGGACTGCAAGCCCGCTCTACACAGGGCCACCATGGCATCCTCAGGAGATCAGTGCTAGCCCAGGGTGGAGCCAGTGAGGATACACAGGTTAAAAACACTCCATCTTCCTGCTGGTGCCCAGCTCTAGATACAGGAAGAAGATTTTCACGGGTTTCAAGGGATTCTTGAGAGGGATCTCGGAATGGATATTGTTTTCAAGCATTTTGAAAACAACAGATATGGGGGAAAAAGGATTTAATGTAGAGGGGTTTTTTCCCAGACCAAAAATATACTGAGGACTGATGAATGGTCTGAAAAGTGATACTACAGTAATGCCTTTTATTTCTTCACTTATAGCAATAGCAGTGTTTAAAACCTTACAACTTGAAGTCTGTGGAGGAGACTGATGGACGAAGGGATGGAAGAACTGCCATTGCTGCTGATTGTCACTTTAAATCCTTTGGGAAAGAGTCTTCTGGAAGTGAATAGAAACTGATCACCTTTCTCCAGACTTGAGTCATCTCACAGAATTTAACATAAAATAATTATTTTGCTTCAAATTGATACAATGTGGCTTCAAATTCTTGAAGATGAAAGATGTGTTCATTTATACAATCTAAGTTATCAGCTGGGATAAATTAACTCTCTGAATCCTGTGCAATTCTGTATGTGTGCCATCTCTAAATAGGTAGATTTTCACATGTGTATTTGCACTGCTTTAGTAGCTCCATTTCTGGGGCTTTCACAAAAAGATAACAACCATTTTACAATCTAAGTTATCAGCTGGGATAAATTAACTCTCTGAATTCTGTGCAATTCTGTATGTGTACCTCTAAATAGGTAGATTTTCACATATGTATTTGCACTGCTTTAGTAGCTCCATTTCTGGGGCTTTCACAAAAAGATAACAACCATTTTTACATTTGCTTGAGGCCTGACTGAAGGGTTTATCTCCATGTAAACTTTCCAGCCCAGCTGTGAAACCTCTGAAATGGATGGTAAAGAAAGTTTTGATGAAACTTAACTGTAGTTGGGTACTTCACTGCTGTAAGGGAAAATCCCCCAGTTGCTGTCAGTGGGTGAGCAGCTGGGCTTCCATCCCTCCATTCTTCACTGTAATCTTCATTAACATAAGAGTTGGTGTTTTGCTCCCCACACATGGATTCCATACTGTTTGAGATCCAGGAGGCTGCAGGGATAAAGGCATGTGTGCAGGCCTCTCTGCTGACCACAGCCAGCATTTCTTTAGCAAGCATAGCATGAATATAAACGTTGCATACACCACAATGGAGAGGAATTACTATGCACACTATCACTTTCAAGCCTTTGAAAGAAACAGAAGCAGAAGGAGGTTCTTGCACTTTCTGCCTACATCATCTTTACTGTCCATCCATTTGTTCCCCATTTAGCCTCCCCACTGGCAAAGCCTCTATTATGTGCTCCAAGAGCAGACAATGGGAGCCCGCTATGGCTGGCAATGCCTGCATTGTTCCACAGGCTCCCTATAGAAATCCCTGTGTTCACATGACCCCTTTTCCAAAACTTAGGGTTTTTATTTCCCTAAGGGGGAGGGTGAGAGGAAAAGGACAGTGTCTCACAGCTCTGTGCAGATTAGTGGTACGTTCATGCCCATATATTGAAATGGATAAAATAGCCATAAATTTTTCCCAAAGTGCTTTTTTGTAATGCATGCATGAACTCACTTAACAAGCTTAAAATATTTAGTGAACATTGAAATGAATGGAGAGTGTGGGAGGGGGGGACAAAACTAGCAGAGATAATGGAATACACTTAGCAGTCATAGCAGCTTTACATAGCTGTATCATATTCTCTATGGATAACACAGCTGGGACATTATGGTTAGAGTTTTAAAATATCTAGGGATTTCTGTCTTAAGATAGTTATCAATAATTGCAAACTTAAACATTAAATATTTTTGGCTTTGTTAAGATATATACCTCTTTATTTAATGCAGGATAAAATATCGTGAAATAGAGAACATTCTTCCCTTGGCATTTCTTCAGGACTCGGGTAAGCAGGAAGGATCTCTGAGTGGGGATCTAAAGTCTGTCTTGGGGAAACCACAGGCTGCCAAAGACAGGTGAATTAAAGCACAGAAGTCCCTCAGACTTGACAGTGTTTGAAATGCCAAATGAGAACAAGGAGATGGGTTGCTATAACACAGGTTCATACCACCTGTGAAACTGGTGAAGTCCTTCAGCACTGCAGAAAATCTTGCCAGATTAAATCATAAATTGCTGCTTCATTCCAACTGAGCCAAAATTTGCACTCTTGCCCTAGTTCTGACTGGGACTAGGACCTCAAACCCACAGACTGCAGCAACACATCCATCAGCTCACACCTAATTAACTGCTTAATTAGAGCAGCACTGGGGAAAGTCTGCTCTTTGTTTTTCCTTTCTCTCTGGTGCCTGAATGCCACTTGTAGCACCACAAAGCTCTTTGAGTGGCTGAGCCTTCCTGGTCACACATAGTTCAAGGTGAAGGTCTCTTCTGCTGGGCTTTTCCTCTCTCTTCTGAGATAATTGACCTTGATGTCACCATGAAGCTCCTCCCCGGGTCACACCACTCGCACAGAGCCAGTGCCTCAGCTAGAGCTGGAGACTAACGCACGCCTGTTTAATTTGGAAGAGCAAAATGAAGGTCACTGAGGAAGGTAATGCAGTCCTGTTGATTGAACATGTGGATAAGGGCTCCACAAAAGCATAATCTACTTTATTGGGAATGCGATAAACCAGGTTTATGTGGGCAGTTGGCAAGCAGTACTTCTGGTGTTACTCCATCAGATAATCCAGGCAGCAGAACACTTATGTATCCTTCTGGTCCCCTAATATGGCTTGAATCTAAAGATTAGGTAATTTTCATATTTTTAGGGTTTTCTAAAACAGTATTATTTATTTCCTATTCTTTACTTATGAAATTCTTATTTCTGTAACCAAGCAAAGGTAGTCCAAGAGGAAGATTTCTGATATTCCAAGGGAAAACCCCTCCTTTTCCATCCAGAGTGAAATATGCAGAAACCCCAGAGGATTCACTGGGGTTTGCAGACAGACTCAGCAGCTTTGCTGCATGTGAACATGTGGTTGGGGTGTTCCTCATGTGAGACTCATCACACACATGGAGCCCAGGTGGTGTGTAGCTGGGCAGTACATTTGCTGTATATATTTCTCCAGCTCAGGTGTCACAAGATACACCAGGGACTTTAGGTCTTGTAAAACAGCCCTGCACAACATTTGCACACCCTTCTCTGTCCCAGGGAGGTTGTGAGAGAGAAGGAAGGAGGTGGTTGTGTTGTTAAGGTATGATGGATGTGGTCTAGAGGAAGCTTTGGCAGAAGATGGCTCTATCTTCTAGCTCTTGGATCAGGGTCCTGAATCAGAACTGCAAGAGGGTTTGTGTGATTCAGCTGCTAGGCTGAGGGACACCTTTCTGACCAGGGAATGTCACGTCTATACACTTATTTATTATCAGGTGTTTGGCAGCAGGTCAGGCAGGGAGACAGCTTAAACTAAGCATAAAACCAGAATGGTGAGGTTTACATCCAGGGACAGCTACTTGAGCTGTAGGTAGGACTACAGCTTGAATTCCACAAGAAGATGTGGACATATATTTATGAATAAAATTAGGCTAGAAATTAAAAGGATTTTAGCCATGAGAGGAGAGAGATTCTAAAATAGCTTTCCAATGAGAGTAGAAGAAAAAAGTCTGAGATTGAGATTTACATGATACAGTTGCTGCAGTATTGAGGGGTGTGGGCCAAAGACTAGAAGGTGTATTTCCACCCTATCTTCCCTGCTTGTTTTCATTTTGATCCTCTCTGTTACTCTAATTTCTCCTTCTTTTTCTCCTGTTCCTTTTCTACTTGGATGACAGGCCGGAAAATCCTCTCTGTGCGTTTCTCCTGTCATTGTTACATCCATTTGGTAGAACAAAGCAAAGGCAAATCCCATTCTGGTACATCTCAGCATGCTTATTGAGGTCTGCAGGCAGAGCCAGCGTGGGGCTGACCCTTGGGCACAGGAGCAGGGGCTGAAGGAGGCAATGATGCCCTGGTGACACAGTAGAGTCCTTGTCCTCCTGGTGCATGGCTGACTCCCCTTGCTCTGTGCCACAGACACGCTCTTGCCTTGGCAGGGCATTCAGTTTCAAAGCACTTGATTTCTGCCTGGGAAAGCTGATGACACAGTATCTAGCCAAGAAGACTTGAGGGGTAGGATTCATTTAGGGGGTGGATGCCGAGTTTCTGTGCAGCAGAAAGGTCCAAACTACAGCTGTAGTGAACACCACTGTAAAGAGAATATTCTGTTTAATTGGAGAGGGAGAGGCTGCCCAGATAGCATTTGTTGGGGGGAAGCAGGAGATGCCCTCAGGACCCAGTGCCAGGAGCTGCAGGGCAGCTGCACCTTGACCTGCAATTGTCACTAGCTGTGGGTGCCCATCATTTCTGAAACCCACTCCTCCCATGCTCAGCAGGGCTGGTCTGAAGCAAAACAACAGTGCCAGGATTCCTGCACTGTACACTGGCACTGTCACAGTATCCAATCAATCCTGCACCTACCTCTAGACTCGGAAATGGAGCTTGCAGAGAGCAGCTTGTTTTAACATACAATAAATACGAAGAGGGGCTCTTTGGCAGGGGGTACAATGCTTCCTGGCACTGGCTGCTTCATCTGCACTTGTGCCCACTTGCAGTGACTCTTATTTTGCAGCTTGCAGAAGAGTTGCTTGTCTTTCACTACATGTTTTTCTGAAAAAAGTGAGCATGTCTTGCAAGAAGTTTGGCCAGTTAATACAAAAGTGATTTAGATGCTAGTCAGACCTAGTCACTTTTTTCTTCTATCATACTGTTGTAGCAGATGTTTGGGTCATGGGCAGCCACCTGAGAAGTTGCCACAGCTCTGTTAGCTGGCATCAACACCTTCCTTTCACAGAAAGAAAACTGTTGTTTTTCACTGTTTGGGCTGCAATTTGACAAGCACCTCAGCTGGGTATCAGCTAGTTGCCATTGGTCATGCTCTTCCTTGCATCCTGGCCATGGGACCTTGCCTCCTTCCTCAGACAGCTGCAACACTGACCAGCTCCAGTGCCTTGGCATTTCAGCATGCCTAACTGGCAGAAAGATATTCACATTAAATTTTAGCAGGCCAAGGGGGAATGTCCAAATTCACAGGAGCTAGCCAGAGTACACCCAAACCTGAGGATTCTGCAGTTAGGTGGACTCAGGCTGATGAAGAACCAGCATCCATGTGTTGCTCACAATTTGTGGGGAACAGATTTAAGGCATCCAGTGGCTTAATTCACCTTGTGTGTGATCCTGCTGTAGCTTTTCTTAATTGCCACAACAATGAATTTAACTTCTTTCTGTGAAACCTGGTCATTAGAGATGATATGCCACTACAACCAAATCCTTCTAAGTACAGTATTAACAGCTGAGTGAAGGGGACTATTAGAACTGTTGCAGTTTTCTTCTCTTGATCAGTGTTCTGTGGGTTTTCCTTTGTTGGAAGAATAAGTTAGTACTAATTAAGATGAAAGCAGAATACAAAGTGGAAACTTCCAAAGTGTCTGTCACTTGCATTTGTGCAAATTAAAACATCTCACATACAGCAAACCCAGGACCTTTGTTTTCTTCCTGTAGATTTTGTATTCCACAACCAGCCTGTGGAGCAAGATGTGTGCTGTCATCCTGCTCACTCTGATGCAGCCCCTGCTCCAGTAATCCCACAGGACCTCACAACAGGTTGGTATCCTACACTGGCAGCAGTTTCATCATCAGGTGCCTGGGGGAAGGGCTGCCAGCCAGAAGTACCTCTAGCACAGGCAGGAGGATGTGACCAGGTGTCCTTTTGGCACCATAAACCCTCTGAGTGGCTAGGCAATATTCAGAGCCTTTAAATTTTTGGGTGTTATTTTGTTTTGTTTTTGAAGTTTCTGATGAGATTTAATCTTTTTAAAAAAAGGTGGTTTTTGTTTGTCTAATTGTAATAGAAATAGGAAACAGCCAAGCCATTTTCACAACCTCAATTTCCCTGTATTCTGTGGCCATAGACCTTTCTGCTGACTCCTTGGGGATGTTCTTGCAACATGGCCCATTGCTGTTTGGGCAGTTTTTGCAGCTTTTTCCCTTGCACATACACACATCTAACTTGTGTTGGTTTTGGCCAAAGAATCCCTTGCTCTACCCATCACTGGGCCCAGAGGTTGGCCCATTGCATTGGATGGCTATTACTGTTATCTCATTCCACAGGATTATAAAGAATTTTTTGGGTTGAAAGGGACCTTGAAGGCCATTTAGTTCCAACCCCCTGCCATGGGCAGGGACACCTTCCACTAGAACATGTTGCTCAGAGCCCCATCCAACCTGGCCTTGAGCACTTCCAGGGATATGGCATCCACAGCTTCTCTGGGCAACCTTTCAAGAGTTTCACCACCCGTGCTGTAAAGAATTTCCTCCTAACACCTAATCTAAAACTCTCCTGTTTTATTTTTAAACCATTTCCCCTTTGTCCTATCATGACATGCATTTGTAAAAGGTCTCTCTCTGCCTTTCTTGTAGGCCTCCTTTAGGTACAGTTTATTAGGTGTTTCACTCTACAAAGGGTCTTAACCGAGCCTGAAGGACATTTTCTTAGTGCTTTAATCAGAATGATTTTAAGTAAGACAGATTAATGCCTTCCAGTATTATTAGTTCTCTTGCAGCAATGGGTAAAGTATCAGATCTTAGAGAAACACTTATCAGCAGTAATGTACTTCTCATCAAAATCTGAGCCTATAAATAATGAAGTTCTTCCCTTTCTGGAACATCCTTGATTATCATAAATCCAGAGGGATAGTTACAACCTGTATGATGTATCCATGCACGTAACAAAATTTTGAATGGTGCCAAAACATTCCCTGTAGTTGGAGGGACCATGTAATAAAAAAAGAAGAAATTGTCCAGCATGGTGGAAATCATCTGCTTAAAATGAATCATGATTGAATGAACTGCCTCAGGAGCAGAAGGAGCTCAAAGAGTCAGCAGAGCCCATGTTCTGAGTGCTAATGATACTGCCTACTGATCTGGCAGAAATGTGGGCATTTATATCTCTCATATGTGGAAAGGCATGTCAGCTGAAGAGAAAAACAGCTGGTATTCTATGAGACTAGACCTGATGGATACCTGCCTACAAGCTAACATAGTATCTGTGTGCTAGATAACCCTACATGATGCCCAGACCACAGAATAATCTGTAATAACCTGACTTTTTGGTAAAGGACTTTATTTAACGAGGCAGATAAAATATTATGAGACAGAAGAATGTGGGGAGAAATTCAGCAAATGTTTGTGGTAGCTCAGTGAACTACAGATCTATTTTTCCGCAGACCTCATTGCTGCTCCATCCTGTGATCACGTTCTTGGATGCTCTGCCTCTGCATCCTTCCCTCACTTCATTGACCACTGCTCACATGGCAGCAGTGTGTGCTGCCTCTTCAGCCACCCCCCTCTGGACTTCTTGCATGAGGTTACTCTTTTAGTTTGGATAATGTGGGCTCAGAATGAGCCATGGATCTACAGAAGGTTTCCTGTGCTCTCCTGCCTATTCCTTATTGGATTGTATCTTCACAAGTGCAGTTTCATTAGAAAGGCCAGTAACAGAGATTGCCTTCCCTCTCTTTCCTGTTTACATGGTACTGCTTGTGTGTGAAGGGCACAATAGTCTTTTTCCTCTCTGCATTCCCAGTACAAGACATTTATAAATGCATAGTGGCCACTTTAGTCTAATTTTGTAGTGTCTCTGTAGGAGGGAATGTGGAGCTAAAGCAGTCCATTGGGGCCTAAGAACACTGGGATCAATTCTTCACCTAATATACAGCTAAATTGGGTAATTTGGTTCATTTCCTTTCTTATCCTAGGTGTCTTTTGAAACTGGGGATAGTGACATTCACATAGGTAGGATCACAGCAGGCAGGGCTGACTGCTGCAGCAGTGGGCATGGCCATCACAGCTCCAAGCTCACCACCATGGCAGCAAGACAGGAGATTTCAGCCCAGGCTTTCACACTGGAGCTTTTTGAGATGCCCACAGCTGTGTCTGCTGGCTGTGCTGGCTGCCCCAGCTGGTGTGCAGGTCTGTGCCGCAGGCACAGCTGTGGCCAGGCTTGCTTATGTGCTGTGCTTGTTTTTGGGGTGCTGTGGTCACCTGCAGGACAGCGTAGCCCAGAGCCTCTCGGTGCTCTTGTAAGAGAAGCAAGAACCACTTGCTAAAACTTCCTGGGCTGTCTTTCATCCCTTTCTTCAAAGAGAGAGGCATGTTTTGAAGAGGTAGAACTGCTGCAATCACTTGGTGTCTGTGACCTAGATAGCCTCGCATTTTGTCTGGTAAGGACACCCACCAGGCATCTAGGAGGACAAAGCAAGAAGAAGCACAGAAGGGCAACAGCAGTAATGTCCCACCAAGAAAATCTCACTGGTAATCTCCCATGCTGAAATATGACATGGAACTTGATTTATATTTGAGTTTGCTCTTGTGATGTACTTGTAACCCATTAAAGTGCCTATTCTTCCCTTGAATTCTACTCTCTACATAACAGTCTGTGACAATGAGTTTCACTGTCTAATTATTGATTGTGGGGAAAAATAGTCTTTGAATTACCAAACATTTCATTTGCTGAATATCCTCTGAATCTCTGCTAAGAATATTCTCTTTTCTGTATAAGCTCTACAGGACTTCAGAAGGATACCATATGCTGTATGGATATTTCAGTATTTTATTTTACTTTGGAGCCCTAGTGTTGAAATTATATATGGTAATTTTTTAAAAAACAAGTAATATATTTTCTATCATGATCATGTCTTGCTCAAACTAGAAGAAAAAATTAAACTTTTTTAAACTTAAAATCAGAGACTCATAGAATCATTGAAGTCAGGAAAGAATTAGGTAATAAACTTTCCTTTTTCTTCCTGAGTTCCAGCCACAGCTTTCTTGAACAAGGTCACCAGCTCATCTTTTGGCACATGTGAACCACATGAAAAATCTGAATTCCTCCTCTGGTGAAGCTGCTTGGCTCCTCTCTCAGCTAACCTATGTCTGCTACAGGCATATACAAATGCATACGAAGAAATCTCTATTCCTCCTGATGAGGCTGGCAATTGCCTAATTGCCTAATTTTGGCAATTAACTAACCCTGAAGAGCCAAATGATGAAAATAACTAGTTTTGATTGATTCACATAGTTTTATATTACTAAATTTTGAAACTTTTCAGAGACTGAAGATATAATTGAATGTACCATTATATTTTTACCTGTTTGATCTTCTATTTTGTCTTAACTGTTGACTTCTTTTGTATTATATTTAGTCCCTGGTTCAAGTACATGCCTAAAGCATTGAATTGCTTCCTTAAGGAAAAGATACATTTCCAGATCTAGAATTAAATCAGTGTGACTAGAAGTCCTTGAATATATACTGCATTTGTATTTCATCTGAGTTTGCTTCTTACAAATATTCCTTTCCCTTACAGGTTTTTAGCTTATTCACTCACATGGACTGGATATTTTCAGTAGCTGCTTGGAAAACAGAGAGACTTAGATGGGCTGGAGCAGATTTAAGGCTGAGATTCAAGAACTTTGCAGTGCATTTGCCTAGTGAAGACAAGGAGCTAAAGAGCAGGGACTAATTTATTCAACAGTGATTATAAAAACATTTTATTCTCTGCCCATAGTTAACCAATTCATTCAGAGACCACACAAGCAGGAATTTCTGATGTGAAAACCTTTGGGTTCCCTAGGTGTCTTATGTGCAAACAGCAGGGCAGAAATGAGGAAAAACTGACACTTGCGTGAGAGTTTCAGGTACTGACTGCCACATCCACTTCAGACTTAAATAACCATATTTTTTCTGCTTCAGAGGCTGACTTTGGACGTCCTTGAAGTCTGGTATTATGCATTCTGGCAGGCAAGTGGAGAAATGAACCAGATGCAGCAATTTAGTCATATAGGGAGGTTTCTAGTAAATTTTGCACGACGGGGTAGTGACAGTGTACTTAGTAAAGCCACATGCCTTTGTAAAAATAGTGCTATTGATTTTCTTAGTGTGTGTATCAAATGTTAGCACATTCATTAGAACAGCAGCCTTCCAAACGCTGCTGTAGAACAACCAGCAGGCCCAGAGTCAATATCCATCTGAATACTGGCTCGCTTTCAAAGGGCAAATTAATATTAGAGCATTGACTTTTCATGTTATAGAGGAAAGATTTTAAAGGGAGCATTTATCAAATACAGTTAGGCAAGATTTAACAAATACAGCTAGGCTGCAGGTCCTATTTGAGCAGGCAAAGATGTGTGCATGCAACCATGTACAGCACTAGCAAAAAAGCATAATGCATGTTTGTACATGTACGTATATATATATTCATTTAGGGTATTGGTCTAATACAGTTACATGAGAAAAAAATGTGGAAGATACTTATCTAAGGAAACTTTCAGTTCTGAACTCCTGTGTGAGTATATTGAAATATCACTGAGTAGGAATGTAATGTATTACAGTGATTGAATAAATACTGTGTCTGTGTCCTCATAATGTAACTTCTTGTACAGTGCTGTGAACAAAGCAGCACATTAGTCCAAATATAACCTTGGCTGGCAGTAGCTTTACAGGAACAAAATACAGCGCACTGAGTCTATTGAAAAAGAGATAACATAGTAAAATCAACCTTTTATCCTTGTAAGAATGAGAGATGAAGGAAGATGAGTAAAGGTCAGTACACTTCTCATAAATTTCTTATGAATTTCGGATTTACCTGTTCTTAGTGTTTCCCCTTTGTATCTGTTTGTGCAATCATTCAAACTTTCGTGGTCCCTGAGGAAAGACCCTGTGGAATGTGTTTGGTGTTTGTTGTGCCCATCTGTACTCTTAATTTGATTCTGTATTCTTAAACCCATGAGGATGACCATGTCTCTGGAGAACAAATGGTCTCATTATCAGGTCATACTTTTTTCATCCACTAAACTTATCTAATAAGCTTATCTAATTTCTGTGGGGTTTATTTGGTTGGTCATGTAGTTGGCTGGTTGGGGTTTTTTGAGTTTTCTTGTAACCCGTTTCACAGTGTTGCTCCACTGTCAACTACCTACCTGTGCTGTGGGTGGGGAGCAGAGGAGGTGAAGATTACATTGCTTTAGCTACCAGCAAAAATTACCCCTTGGAAACAAAGCCAAAGCCACCTCCTGAAGTACCCTACTTCTTTTTATTACTTAGAGAGGGGTACCAAAGCTTCTAACTTAAGCACCTTAGTTAGGAGGAAGAGAACAGGCCTGTACACTCCCAGGTAGTTACACACAGATTTTAGCTGTGTTGATTGACCCTTCAGAATGTCCCTCACTGCTGGGACTGCAGAAGGATACCTGGGAAGGTGCCTGATGCACTGGTGATAGCACAGGGGCATTGTGTCTGAGCCAGGACTGCTGATACAGATGCTGAATTCAGTGACATCTTCACAAAATCCCAGGTGGATCTCTTCCTGCTTCCTAGCCACATGCTGCAGCATTTTCCTTCCATTCTCTATTTCCCTTACTTTCTCTTTCATAATGCAGTGTCAGTCTGAGAGGATGATTTAATTTGTTTTATTGTTTACTAGTCCTGTTAATTTTCAACCTACTTGCCCCAGTGAGTTGTTTTGTGAGGTTTGGGGTTTGCAGCTTCTGAAGTCTCAGCTGTCACGCTGAAAAGTGCTTTTGTGGTATTATTGTGTAGCAAACAGTTAAACAAACATTTTGGAGGTTCTCTGTGTTTCTAATGCAAACAAAAGGTTTCTGTCTCTGTATTATTTTCTCCATTCAGCTGTCCTTGTAGCTGGTACTGGAGGCCTCTTTCCAGTGTGTATCGCATTTTGAAATAGATTCAAGTGTGCTTAATGATGAGACTTATGTTAGTTTATCTCTTTCATGTTGAAGGCATTATTACTGCAAAGGAATTTTACTCTTTGCTCAAGATGCATATCCCAAATATTTAGATTTCCTGCTCCAGAAAAAAAGGCCATGGCTTTGGGCAGTCAGCCTGTGTAAAGGACAGTTTTGTTGTTCCCCACAGAATATGACCTCTCTGAAGTCTTTCTGAATTCCTGAATCTCCTCCTCCAGTGTTGCCAAAGTTGTGCTCTAGAGTCTAAGGGGTCACCCAGAAATCTTTATCATTATAATGTATTGCATTTATCTTGTCTTCTTTGATGAATGCTGAGCAATAATGTTAAACCTTTCTTCCCTTCCCAGCAGGATAGATTTTCATCTGGAGTTCGGTGTCTTCAAAATAAATCTGAGATAAAGTCATCAACAGAATGAGCAAATGGAGCATTGAGGAGTAAATATGAGGACCAGTGGGGGTTTGACTCTTCCTTGTCATTATATCACCAAAAAGAACTATTGTAACCAGCAAAATTAATTCAAGACTTCTTTTCCACCTAAACCACCAATTCGGAGGGCGACTTTAAATTCATCTTTCAGAGCAGTAACTCACAAGTGGCAGCAGATTCAGGATGAATTTAAAATGCTGGTTTGAGAAACTTGAGCTCTATGGCAGAAAAGTTGAGCTCCAAAATGGTGAAGTGCCCAAAATATGGACTCTTATGATTTTATTAAATAAGACTGACATTCTTTAGCATGTGTTTAAAATTCTCTGGATCAAGGCTGCCATGGATGGGCAATATAGTAAACTACAGTTATTTAGGTGACCTTTCTCCTCCTTAACCTTCTCCTCTTTTTGAGCACCTTGTAACTAACTGTGCCCAGTCTGGGATCTGCCTTGTGGATGACAGAGCTCCGAGAAACAGAAAGTGTAGGCACCGTGTGGAAATCAACCAGATTACCGAGCTCAGATGATTTATAAATGTTAGCTTTTGGTGTCCTTTTTATAAAAAATTGAAAGAAAAAATATAACAGAAAAATTCCTTTAAAAACAACCGGATCCTTTTGGAGCATGACAAACAAAAAATGTAGCATTAATTAATCCCATGAAAATTTCCCTTTGGCAATGCCTTCCTGTAAGTAAAACACAGTCCCCTAAAACTGCATTCCAGAAGGAAAAGGTTCTCAGATGGCCACTGAGATAATATGAGAAAATTATTTTTGGACACATTTGCAGCCGAAGCCCCTCAGAGGAGCTGCTTTGATAACTGGACACTTCCAGTGTGGAAGGAGTAAAAAAATCTGGTTTTCCCCATGCCAGCCCCAGCCACTCTGAGCCTACACCCACCGCTAAACCTGGGCCCATTTCTAGGCTGGTGTGAGATGTTCCCACAGCTCTGCTGAGGGCTGTACTTCACTCTCTGCCTTCTGTAGGGATGAACACATCAGAAAGGGGGAAGTGAGCCCCGTGCATCTCTCAAGGATGAATGGGACATGGAGCTGAGGTGGAAAAGATGATAGAAACTGCTCAGAAATCAAGAAGAGTTCTGCATTTTATGAACTTGATTCATGAAATTACCCCCAGATTTTATTTTTTGCTCAAAAAGGGGCTTCTTCCTGACAAGAAAATTATCTGTTTGAAGTTTAAATTACTTGGAGATTAAATTAAAAATTAGATTTCTGGATTTTAAAATTTCATTTTAATTAAATGTTGCAGCCCTTTGGAATTCAAAGAAACTGAAACTCTCCTAAGACAAATGGCAGACACAATATTTGAAATTTGATTACAATTTTCCCTTAATTTTATCCAATTATATTAAGAGGTCTTTGAGCTACAAAGCATTAAAAAGCACTACTGAGGCCAGAGACATGCTAGTGAAATATTGTTTCTGTCATGTGGAGCTTTGTACAGAATTGTGTGGGCTTAAATAAATGTATCTTGATAGTTTACCTTAAAACTCTCTGTCCTTTTCCTCAGTTCAGCTGAATCCTATGAAATAGATACGCAGCTTGAAGAAGTTCTTCACACCCCCACAAACGCTAAAAATGGCCCTGATACAACATGTATTTATGTAACAAAATCATCTGCATTAATATCTTCCTTTCCTTTCTTCAAGAAGCACAGGAGGGACCCAGGCTGACACATTTTCCTGCAGCCCCTTCCAGTTTTCTCCTTGCATTTGGGGCAGCAGGGCTGAGCTGTGTTTTCCCTTAAAAAAAAGGCCACTGAATAAACAAGAATTTGATGTGGCTATTAATAGGGTCAGCTGCAAACCTGCAGCCCAGGCTTTTGATTCTCTCCCCTTGAATATTCAGTATCCTGTTATGGATTGAAACTATGTGATAACAAGAGTTCTGGTCACTGCTGTTATCCTGATCTTTTAAAATAAAGAGGGTATTAAAACAAATATATTTCTTCCAGTTTTCTGAAAAGACAAGAGACTGGCTGATGGGATCAAGTGTGATGTATTGAGCTGTTAACTTCTTCTTCATATCTGACAGAATGAAGAGAAAAATGGCCCCACCTGGCAGCTGTTTGCTGCCCCCATTTGTCACCATCAAGATCAGGTGGCTGTGTGCTCTCTAGATCACAGTGAAGCCCCAGCACCTGGGCAGGTGTGCAGCTTGAGGAGAGGGCTCAGGTGCTGTGGAAACAAAGCCAGGGGCTCTGTGTTGGTCTCCCAGGGCTGCCTGCTGGCCTGGGATGAAGGGGAGGAAGACTGCATTGTAGCTACTGCTGCTACCAATAGGGTCAGAGAAAGTCTTGGTAACCCTGCCATGTTTAGCATCACAAAGTACCTGGAAAAATCAACAGCCAACAAGCCTCCTCATTTTTCATATGGAGACTTCTGCCCCAGCTGCTCCATCTGGATACTGAGAGCTGGAAGTGTCACAGCCCTTCCTCACACCACGGCTCACCAGGATGGCTCCCAGCACCAGCTGGCTCCTTGGAGGGCAGTGCTACTGCCACAGGGCTGTCCTGAAGAGTGACCAGAATGACCTCCTAAGTCTGCTAAACCAACACTCACTGCCCCAACCTGCTGCCTGCTGTGGAAATAAATCCCGAGCAGCAGTGAAAATCAAACCAATATTCTCAGCAGCAGCTGTAAACTCGATAAGCTCTCTGTCCTCCTTTCTCTCCCCCTGCCCTGTCCCTCCCTTTGGAGTTGAAATGAAGGCAGAGACATGCTGAGAGAAGCAGTGCAGTGCTCTGTTTGCAGGATAATATGCAGACCACATGTATGTATTAAAGACTGTATGGAGTTATAATTGAGCCAGGAGCATTTAAATGCAAGCCAAGGGGAATTTGCTATTCTGTGTGGGCAGATTTCAATTGTAAGGTTGGCAGCTCTGGTATCCTGTTCTCTAATACCATGAGATGAGAAAAAGCAGGCTTTTCTTTCAGAGCAGTTGATTATTGAATCCGCACCAGCTGTTCACCCTAATCCAAGCTTTCTGTGCTCGTTCCTTGTAATAGAGGCATCCCTCATCCGTCCATCCATCCGTCCATCTCCCCACTCTCATTTCCACGGGACTTTTGTAATCTTTCAGAAAGGTGGTTAGCAGATATCAGCCACCTAAAGTAATAAAAACATTGGTGCAGGCAAGGGTAATAACTAATTAACAAGAGAAGAAAACCATCCCAGCTACATATTGAAACTCAAATTATATTTCACATCCATTGCAAGATGGAAAAAAAAAAAAAGCCATCATGAATCAGAAGGCAGAGAACCATTTTTTAACAGTGACACCTGACTCTGTGCCCAGCACACCGAGTGGGATCAGAGCTGGAGTGAGTCCTGAGCCAGCACAGAGTGGCAGCTGTCCCTGCTACCCCACTGCCAGCCCAGGGACCTGCACCCAGGCATGGGGCAGCAGTAAAGGAAATATAACTGTTTTGTTCCTTTTATTCCTTTCTTTTTTTTCCTTTTTTCATAATAAAGGAGGAGGAAGGGGTGAGATAAGTGAGTTCCTTCTGGGTGCTTCTCACTCAGCCTGCAATGTTATGTAAGGCTGGTACAGCTAATGCCTGCTCTGCTTCACCATCAGCCTGGCTGCTTCATCCCCACTACACAATTATTTCATCAGTCTCTCCTACTAGACATCACAGTGCTGTTGTGATTAGTCACTTTTATTAGGAGAGCAGCTAAAATAAAATTAGCAAGCACAGGAGCCCAGTTGCTCAAGGGACTGGGTGAACACAGCTCCAAGTAGTCCTTGCCCCAGAAAGATTCTAATCCCCTGGAGGAGGAGGACTAGGGACATGGGGGTGACACATAGGACCCAAAAGAGGGCTGTGAAAGCAGCAGGAGGAATGCTGTTTCCATGAAGAGCTTTGGCAGGGGAGGGTGAATCTAAGTCAGAATGAGTCAACTGGGAATAAAAGGCAGCGGGAGAAAGGACATTGTAGGGGAAAGTAGGGTGGAGGAAAAGGTAATACAGTAAGTGACAAGCTGAAGAACAGAGGTTGATGGTGGGGAAAAAATACAAGTTTATGCAAAAAGGCAACCAGCACAGCAAATCCTCCCTGTCTGCCTGTCCCCTGCCCATTTTTTCTGCTGCTGCTGCTACACATTTTTGCCCTCAGTCCAGTTTCCTCACAGTGTTTCTCTGTGTGAAGGGTGCCTCCTTCCCTGCTCACCAAGTCCTCCTGGGCTCAGAGGATTACCCCACGCTCTGTGCATGGGCAGCCTATAGCATCCTCTCTGGAAATCTTGGCTGAATCACAGAGACTGTGTGTAATGCCAGAACCATGCAAACTGAAAAGCTGCATTAGCAGTACAGATTGTATGTGCAGATTTGGAAAACAGAGACACGGAATGTTCTGGGGCACCGTGCAGAAAATGGACTGGATGACCTGAGAGAGGACAGACAGACAGGCATGTACAATTGCATTTCTGTATGTTATGAGCATATGGATGGAAAAATGAGCCCTTGAAATGACTACTGGACTTTCAGGAGTTGGAGATGCCAAATGGTGTATGTCATTTAGCTATCAATTTAAATCAGTGTATCTGGACAATTTATAGATAAAACTCCATAAAGAATTGTCTTGACAACTCATTAGATAACAGACCTTAATATAAAAGGAGGTCTGAATGTGATTCTTGGATGAGAGTAGGGAGAAAAACAAGAAAGTGCATATTTTTCCTTTGCAAATAGCATTGATGGTACTTCAAGTGGGTTGCTGGATAAGGCTCAGGTGGCCACATTTTCAACAGAATATTGTAAAAATTATGAAGTTGCAGAAAAGAGTTCCAAAACGATTTTGAGAAAATAGGATTATACTTTGATATAATGCTTTCTATTAAAAAAACTTGCAATACTTAATCCATTGTGCTTATCAAAAAGAAAATTGAGAAATGTTCTGATTACGGTGTGTGCAACTTCACAGTGAGAAAACACCAGGTACTAAAGAATGCTTTAATTTAGTGGAGAAAAGCAGAATAAGAAACAATAGTTGTAAGCTGCAGTTGACCAGAAAAATTTAAAAGAGAAACTAAAAATAATTCTCTTTTTAACAGAAGTAATTATTTCTGAATGAAATTCTAATTTACCTCTCTGTTTGTCAGATGACGATTAAACTCTTTTCATAAAGGTTCAGTCAAAAACAATCTTTCTGATTTGCTGCTGATGGTATTGGGTGCGAGTTGATGGTTTGTGTCATAACTTGGTGGTGTTTTGTTGCCTAGAATTCCATGAGCAGCTTATGCATCCACCAGAGCTAAAAGCTTTGTATTCCACCAACTTTATGTGATTTACAGGATTTGTTATCAGTTCACAGGTAGAAAGCTGATGAATCGCTACACATTTGCAGAGCAGTTAGCTCAAATCCTGGAGATCCTCCCATTCACATGGTGAATAACTGTAATTAAAATTTAAAATGCTTACAGCCTCAGTTTCAATCAAGACTAACTTCTGAGGATATTCTTTTGAGCTGACAACAACAGGAAGGCAAATACAAAGGTTATATGAGTTGAGGGAAAATTGGACAGAAGAGAAGTGTTAAATTGTCAGTGTGGAATGTTCCTTAAATCTGGCACTCAGCAGGTACCTAAAATGGTTAAAACTGACACATAGCTCTTGACAAGTACTGCTATAGTGCTGGGAACCACTTGGTGTAGAGTAGATGCTGTCTGGACCCTTCTGGATTACACAAGTATTACATGAAGTCTGCAATCAGGGCTGGATTCAGTAATTCAGTTGCTTCAAGTCATATGGTCCTAAAACATCTGCTGCTGGGCAGTGCAGATATGCACCAGCACGAGCTCTAATCCAGACCCTGCGAACATGTTTGCTTGGTCCAGCGTGTCTGCCATTGCTGAGGGTGCTCCCTGAATAGTCTGACAGGGGAGCTGGCTGGCATGAAGCTTGGTGTCAACAGCAAATATGTCCCAAGTTTAGAGCCAGCAAGTTTAATAGACATAGTACTTCATAAAACTGCTGAAAATGAGCCACAGTTGCCAGGCTGCTTGTTTTACCTCTACCACTCCATGAGTCCTGTCAAAAAAATGGGAAAGAACATGCCAGTCAAACAAAAGCCTGGTACAAAGCCTGCCCAAATGTGAATAATGCAGAGCCCTTAAGTTCCTATGCCCTAGCCCCACTTTTGGCAAATTTACCCCATGATGAACCAGGACTAAAGCTGTCACTTCTCACAAGGCTGTCTTTCTGAGCACAGCCCGCTCGCTCCTTTCTCACACCTTCAAACGCAGAGCTGGCCCATTTTGTACACAGCTGCCACAGTTTGATTTGCTTTGTGTTTGTGCCTTAAGCTTTGCCTCTCTGTTTCCACGTCCACAGCCCCAGTCTATTTTATGTCATCTTATCTGGAATGCCCGGAAGATAAACATCCCCTTCAGTCAGCCACGCGTGAGGGCATCAGGGCTGCAGTGACACAGAAGAAGCACGCTTAATTTCTCTGCTTGGCTCTGGCTGGTGTCGTGGGGTGATGGGGTGTCCTCGTACTTGCCACTGTGCCTATTCCCACCCAGCACCCCACCAGCTGCAGCTGGGCCACGCATCCCAGGGTGCCGGTCTCGGGCAGCCCTTGCACTGCCTCCTGTCCCTCAGCCGGGGCAGAGCAGAGCACAGCCAGCCCGGCAGACACGGCACGGCCTGGCCTGGGCACCCTGCAGCTCACAGCTCCTTGCTCCGCTGCGGCTGCAGCTGCAGCTGTGTGCCCGCCCGGTGGAGCCGGGTGCGCCTGGGCAGCAGCCGCAGCAGCCCCAGCAGCAGCAGCAGCAGCAGCAGCAGCACCGGCAGCAGCAGCAGCAGCCCCAGCAGCCCCAGCAGCAGCAGCCCCAGCCCCAGCCCCAGCAGCCCCAGCAGCAGCCCCAGCCCC